ATCATGAGAACGAAATCGTTTCTTTTCTTTCATTGACGGTGGCACTGTGTTTATCATATGTCAATGTTCATCCCTGTATCCATTGTCTATTTCTTACGTTCTATCACTACACATTAAGGCTTATTTTGTGTTGTTCATTGTAAAATTTCGTTTAAAAATAATTAAATGAATCTAATATCATTTTTGAAAAATTTGATTTTGCAGAAAAAATTATTGTTACGAAAAGAAACACGTCAGGTCATCGGAATTCAGCATAAACAATCCAGCAGAATCATAAAAATAGCATGTTGAAAAAAATTGAATTTTCATGTCACTCAACCCGAATGGGTCGTTTTCGACCCATTTTTAAGTATCGCAGGGAAAGAGCTTCACCGAAATTTGGCTACATTCTTGGCATATTGGGCCCGTATTTACACTATCCCTATACTTGAATCGGTACTAACTTTGCCGGATCGGTTTTAGGGGGTAAAGGGTTAATCTTAATCGTATTGGCTATAGTTGGTAATCTATCAAAATTTGAAGTATTGGACAAAGGATTGATCCATATCACATTTCCTCTGTCGTTTATATTTTTTTCTTATTCTAAAATAATTTAACATCATCTTTAGGAAACAAAATGGAATCAGCTATTGAAAAACTTCGTAAATACCGTGATGAAGATTATCATTTACACGATGAAATAATTGAATTATGGGCAAACATTTTATCTGAATGTGATTTATCAATATTAGGAGATGAAAAATGGTTAATACTTGAACAAGTATTCAAATCAGCATTACATTGTTCAAAAGAATCAATGGCTCATCAATGTCTTGAACGAATAGAAAAACAATTTGAAAAAACAAGTCCTCTTCTAATCACATTAAATGCAATGTATTTTGAATCAATTGAAGATTTTGAAAAAGCTGAACAAATTTGTTCAACATTAATAGAAGAAAATGAAACAGATGACATTAAAAAATTTCTTGGTTTAACTAATTATTTACTTCATATTTGTAGAAAATCACACGGTCTTCCTTTAACTTGTTTAAAACTTATTGAAGGTTATTGTCAAAAAATTACAAAATGTATCAACGATGACAATTCTTTATTAAATGATATGAAAAATGTACTAAACGAAATAAAAGATTTACTTCAATTAATTGATCTGAACGACATACAAACAGCAAAAATTAATCGTATTATCCCAGGTCCAATAAAACGGCGTCGTAAACGGCCTGAAACGGCTATAAAACGGCGATTAACGATGTAAAACGTCGATAAACGGCACCGTAATCCGTCATACCAGATTACGGAAGCAAAACCGGAAAAAAACGACCGCCGTTTTTTAGCGATAGACGGTGGTCGTAATATGGTATGACGGATTACGGCGAAATAAGGCCAAAATTACTGCAGTAATTCGCCGTTTTATAGTCGTTTCAGGCCGGATACGACGCCGTTTCCGACGGCCGGAATGATCCACCTGGGTATTGGTGTTCTTGAATCTTGTTATTCCCGACTATCAGTATGTTATTGTCTTAGTATTGTTAACTTATTTTTTATTCCTGTCTTGTCTTCTAGAATGAAATTAATCAAATGAAAAAAGAATTATTGAACGTAAAACATCAATATGAACATCAAAATAGTGCATTAGATGAATTACGTAAAGAAATTATTGATTTAAGGTAATATAATCTTTTTTTTTTAAATTTCTGAAATATTTGTTTGTAGAAAACAATCCAGCATGCAGGTACTTAAAGAAGCATCTGCTCATTCACTTATTCCGTTCATAGAACAAGTAACAAAACAGTTGGAAAATGAAAACGAAGAACAAACAAATTTAATTTCAGAAGAACCAGATGATTTTCAAAAGTTTTATAATAAATATTAGCTAGAAATAATAAAATCCGATGTTGCATTAGATGAAGGACCATTAACAACTATTGATAATGTCATAAACGATTTCGTTAAACAATCAAAAATAGCAAAACCAGATTTTATTGATCTACTTATTAATAAAACAAATCGCAATCGTAAATCTCATCATATTATTGACTGTTACATCGACAATTATATCAATAATCGGTTTACGGAAAATTTTATTGAATTTTTAGAACGTGAAAATTCGATCAAATTAATTGTCGATGATAATGATAAAGTTAATTTAATTAAATTATTAAAGTTGAACATCAAACTTCGACGAAAACAAAATTCTCTATATGTTATAGAACAAAAACATCTTAATGTTTAAAATTCATAAATTTTTTCTTTTTAGTAATGTATTTCTTAATCAATTTGATACTTTACAAGAACGTAATGATATGATTATTGCTCCATTTCGAATGTCCATCGTTGAACAAGATAAAGTTTGTTTTTTTTATTTTTAAAATAAAAAATTCAATTTTTTTATAGGAAAATGGTGCAATTGTTATGGGTGAAATTGAATCAGGAAGTTGTCATATTGGTGACCAATGTCTAATTATGCCAAATCAGACACGTGTTGAAATTACAAATATTTATCATGAAGACAGTAAAACTGATTCTGGTGTTTATGGACAAAATGTTCAACTTGAATTAAAAAACGTTGAAGAAGAAGTACGTTTTCTTCTTTTATTAATTATCATTTTCTAATCAAGTTTTTTAGAAAATCTCACCTGGTTTTATTTTATGCGATGCTCAGCAAAAACCATGTCGTGTTGGGAGAATCTTTGAATCAGAAGTAAACTAAGTAAATAAATAATTGAAATGTATATTTATATGTTGAAAACTAGGTGATGATAATTAAACATCAATCGGAAATTTATCCAGGTTATATAGCTGTTCTTCGTATTCATGCTGCTGTTACTCGAGTTTATTTAAAAGAATTAATAAAATTAATTGATCCTAAAACAGGTCAAACAACTCGAAAAAAACCAAAATTTATAAAACAAGATCAAGTTGCAATTGTAAGATTTGAATTATCACAATCAGAACAAGTTATTGGTATGGAACAATTTAGACATTTTCCTCGACTTGGTCGATTTGCATTACTTAATAAAAATGGACCTGTTGCTTTTGGAAAAGTTCTTAAAATCATCGAATAAAAACTTTTTTTTTCTCTATTTTTATTTTATATTTATTTTCATTAAGAATATCCAAAGATTCACGAAATAGTACTTTTGTTATACATTTGTTTCCAACAAAAACTGAAATAAACATTTAAATTAAAAAAAGAATATTTTCTTTGAATAACAAAAAAAGCGTTTTGATTAATTTAACCGGATAACGAAAATAAGAATTAAAATGAAATTGTTAAATGCACAAGAAATAAAAAATATCATTGATTAATTTGATCTTTAGATGGAAAGTTTCAATCAGTTAAATAGATTCCTTACAGACCTTTTATTTCCTTGAATAATAATTAAGTAATCAATATCGATATGTAACATCAAGAACAACAACTGATACGACGGTGAAAACATCGTCATTAATGCCACAACGCACGTCATTAACATCAAAAACTTTGATTTGAACAACAAATAATATTGGTTTATCACCTATGACATCTTCGTCATTAATGATTGCTAATAATGATGAAATTATAAATTCTGTCACTAACTTACAAGTCGCAGTTGCCACAATATGTACTTATCTACGATATTATCCGAAAACTTACAAATATTGATATATCTTTGACAAAATACAATAATATCTTTTGACCAACATTGTTGAAAATTTGAAATAGACAGCCGATTGTGAAGGAAAAAAAGAATATTTTTTTTTTCAATAAAAGAAAGAATGAAGGAAATTTTCTTGTCAAATAATATTATCTGACAATCTGAATTAATCGATAAGGTTAGATAAACGCATTGAATCCATCTATGCCATGTTCCTTTTAATTTATCTTGCAATTTGTTGTAGATCGAGTTATTTGCAAATAAAAATGTTTGTATGAAGAGAAACATGAATGAAAAGACTTGGTTATGAATTGAATGAGTTTGTGTCCTCTGTCGGATGTATAAAAAATAAAAAGGAAGGCATAATGCTAAACGACGTTTGATATTTTTCCTGCAATCAACAATAATATTTTCGACACTCATATTGATTGTTTCTTTAAAATTTCCTTTTTCTTTACAAATAAATATTGTTAATTTGTTTTTTTCTTCAAATAGATTCGATTGAATAAAAATGAACGAACCTCTATCTAGTTGGGATCAACAAGAAGAAAATTCATCAATATCATGAACAAAAATAAAATTCGATGGATTAAATATTAGTGCTGTTGAATTTGTTCCTTCCTTTAATTCAAGATTTTCATTTGGTTCTAAAGCATCAAATGTTCAACAACGCCAATACCTAAAACTTCACCTTCAACACCAGTTATTGTTCAACATACACATGGAAAGTAACTATGAATACAAATCAAATTGAATCAACAACAAATGGAAGAAGATTTTTCAACTAGAGAAGGAAATCAATTTATTGATGATGATGATGATGATAGTTTGTTTTTCATTATGTCAATATTTTAATTTTATTTTTATTTGTATATTTAGGAATAATGGATGATTCAACAGCAACAACAATACTAACAACAACAATAAATAAAACAAATATAGCTACTAGTTCAACAGTTCCAAAAGAAAAGAAAAATGTTGTTGTTAAACGAGATGTTGTACGAAAAAAAAGAACCTGTTAATATTGGCTTTTGTGGTCATGCTGATGCTGGAAAATCTACCATTGGTGAACAACTTATGTAAATTTTATTTTGTTTAAAGAAATTCTATAAAAAATTCTTTATTTTTTTCTTAGGTTTTTAACAGTACAAGTTGATAAACGAACATTAGAAAAATATCAAAATAAAGCTCGTGAAAAATCTTGTGAATCTTAGTATTTATCATGGACATTAGGTACAAATGAAGAAGAAAGAGAACTGTTGAAGTTGGTCGACCGTGGTTTGAAACTGATACAAAACATTATTATTCTTGATGCACCTGGTCATAAATGTTTTCTTCCAAATATGATTGGTAAAGCGGCACAAGAAAAATTGCTATTCTTGTAATTTATTATTTTTTCGAAATATTTTCAATATAAAATTAAAATTTTAGATCATTTCTGTTCGTAAAGGTGAATTTGAAACAGGTTTTGAACGTGGTGGTAAAACATGTGAACATGCTATGTTAATTAAAACAGCTGCATGGTATTCGTTATTTAGTAGTTCTAATTAATAAGATAGATGATCCAACTGTTAATTGGGATTAAGCGAGATATGAAGAAATTAAAGATAGACTAACACCTTATCTTAAAAAAATGTGATTTTAAACCTGATGAAGCTACTATTTTTATGTCATGTAGTGGAATCAGTGGAGCGATACTGAAAGAACATCCTGGAGAACAAATTGTACCTTAGTATAAGTAAGGATTTATTTAGAGAAAATACTTAAATAAAATTATTTATTATTCACAGAGAACCAACTGTTATTGAATATTTGGATAATATTCCATCATTTAATCGTAGTATTGATGGTCCACTTCGAATACCAATTGTAGATTGATACAAAGTTTGTGTTTTGTTTGTTTTTAAAACAAAAAATAAATGTTTATTGTAGGAAATGGGTACAATTGTTATGGGCAAAATTGCATCAGAATGTTGTGGAGTTGGTGATCGATGTGTAATTATGCCAAATCGAACACGTGTTCAAGTTACACATATTTATTATGAAGATATTGAAGCTGATTCTTGTGTTTGTGGAGAAAATGTTCGTCTTAAATTAAAAAATGTTAAGGAAGAAGTCTATTTTTTTTATTAATTATAATTTCTCATTAACATTTTTAGAAAACCTCATCTAGATTTATTCTATATGATACTCGACAAGAACCATGCAGAGTGGGGCGAGTCTTTGATGCACAAGTAAAATAACATACGATGCAAAAGTAATGGTACAAAATGTCGTCCCTTGAATTTTTCATAAACATGGTTCTGAGAAGAAAATTTTTTTACCATTTGATAGAGCATCTTCTCCTCTTCCAACCTGTATATTACTTATTTTTTATAAGACATGTATAAGCTAAAAGGCAATGGAAGAAAGAAGGATCTCTCTAAAACAGTTCCGTACTTTTCATATTTTCCGAAATAGCGATAAAGGGTGTCCCATAATAACCGGAGATAAATTGTTAATAGTATTTTTTATACTTTACTTTGGCGTATAGGCCTGAAATTTTTATCACATATATATCTAATCATGATCTTGTATTCCTAAAAGTTTCAACTCTTTAACTATATCTAGTGGTGAAATACATCGACAAGATTGAAATACATGAATTTTCGTACTTAATTTTTGCATTATTTTTGCTCTTCCAAACACAAAAAGAAGTTCCTTTTTCCATTTCATTTTTCCACTAGCTAATACACTGTATTAAAAAAGCGAAATATACCACAAGATGCAGCATGAAGAACTCTACAATTTTCAAAGGACAGCTTATTTTATAGTTGCATCTTTTGTTTTCAAAATGGACAAACTTCTGTGCGACTAATTTTCGATGCTGCGAAAAAAAATCATCTTTTTAGTGCACGATGAATTTCTTTGCTTATTGCTTCGCTTAATGAGCCCTATGAAAAGCTATAATCGATGGCCGAATTGAGACCAGTCGATAGGTGTTCCAGTTACAACAATATGCAATGGAATAAAGTTAATGACAATGATTCATTAATTGATAAAATAAGCAAAAAAATTCATCGTACACTAAAAAGATGATTTTTTTTCGCAGCATCGAAAATTAGTCGCACAGAAGTTTGTCCATTTTGAAAACAAAAGATGCAACTATAAAATAAGCTGTCCTTTGAAAATTGTAGAGTTCTTCACGCTGCATCTTGTGGTATATTTCGCTTTTTTAATACAGTGTATTAGGTAGTGGAAAAATGAAATGGAAAAAGGAACTTCTTTTGTGTTTGGAAGAGCAAAAATAATGCAAAAATTAAGTACGAAAATTCATGTATTTCAATCTTGTCGATGTATTTCACCACTAGATATAGTTAAAGAGTTGAAACTTTTAGGAATACAAGATCTTGATTAGATATATATGTGATAAAAATTTCAGGCCTATACGCCAAAGTAAAGTATAAAAAATACAATTAACAATTTATCTCCGGTTATTATGGGACACCCTTTATCGCTATTTCGGAAAATATGAAAAGTGCGGAACTGTTTTAGAGAGATCCTTCTTTCTTCCATTGCCTTCTGGCTTATACATGTCTTATAAAAAATAAGTAATATACAGGTTGAAAGAGGAGAAGATGCTCTATCAAATGGTAAAAAAATTTTCTTCTCAGAACCGTGTTTATGAAAAATTCAAGGGACGACATTTTGTACCATTACTTTTGCATCGTATGTTACTTAGAACTCTTTAAACCATAAAAGTTGAAAGGATTTCAATATGTTCCGCAAATTCTGGTGTTGGAGATGAACTTTCATTGGAACCAGTTTTTCACTGATCACTAGAAACATTCAATTTGTTATTTCTTCGTTGATTTGTCTAAATATTAAATTGAATGAATTTTTGTTTTTGTTGAAAATCATCATTTCGAAGGACGAAATTCTATTCAGTAGGAATGTTTCCATGAGATTGTGTATAATTTTTCTCAAAAGAAAATACATGTTCTAAACTATCTTAAGTAAAATTCAATTGCATGAAGTATACAAAATAGATATGATGAATATGATACTTTACAATTATATGTTATCCATAAAGACTTATCTTCATAAATTTTTCTCATTGTCGAACAAACTTTAAACTCCTAAATATAAATGATGACGATATTAGTTTCTTTGACAAAGCAAACAATACTAAATTAGAAAGTTTGATCAATTTTGTTTTTTTCCATCTAATTTTCAATTTGGAACTATCACTGATAGTTGTAGCCTTTAATGAATGCTTCCTATATGGTCTCATCTATGAATGTTTTTTGTTAAAACCATTTATTTCCAATTGGTTACAAAATGAATCACGTTAATAAAGTAATTTTTCAAATTCACTTCACTGTTGTCTACATCAAAGCTATTTTTATCTTTAAGCAAACAAACATTTATAGATAATTATATTTTAAGAGCAACATTTTGTTTTTCTACAAAACATCTTTTCTTGATTGGTTGAAAAATATTAAGTGCAATTTTAATAAATTCCAGTGCTAATAGCTAACGAATAAAGACAAATCATCATGTATTTGTTAAATGATATGCTTTTATTCATGTAGGATAATGCTTTATTTATAGTGTGCATAGTTCAAATTTCAAGTAAAGTGTTCTTTTTTTTCTCCTATTTCAAATGACTGAAGATAATAATATTTCGAAAGAGAGTATTCATTTAATCAATTCATTTACTCATATCAATATCTAGTGATTCATGAAAATAATTTCGAGAAAAATCTGAATAATACACGAAAGTTTTTCTTCAAGAATTGCAATCTTTATAATTTTGATGATGTTTTATAGTGTGCATGACAAGTTATTACTAATTCGACACTATGCAACTATTATTGAAGTCTGCCACCTACTTGTTAATGACAATTTATTATAAAGATGAATGCTGTTAGTCATGAAAAGTACTCAAATGCTAGACAAATATTGTGTTTTAACAGTAGCCAATCCATTAGTTAATATTACTTATGCAAAACATTTTAAAATGAAAGGAATGAGGTATTTTCATTTTTTTTTTTATTGATAAAAAAATAACTTAATCGTCATAATCGAGGTATTCGAAGAACTTAAGAACATTTCTTCTGGAACGTATGAAGTGATCCATAAAGAACATCTAGGTAAAGGTGAAGGGGCATCAAACATTTCTGAACGTCCAGACACTTACTAATGCTTGCTATTCTTGTTGCCACTTATTTGTCGTGGTTTGTTTTACAACTACTACAGGAAATCAGAGGGTACTGAACTATTTGAACTTTCAATAAACAGTCAAATGTAGAAACAAGATCTGTGCTCAATGGTGGGTGCAGGAATGGCAGTGAGTCTTCTTCTCAATCAAGCCGAGATCCACATCCACACTGTAGTTGGCAAATAAGTATCCAATTAGGGATGGGGCGAACTCAGAAAAAAGTTAAGTTGGAAGGACACCAAAATATTCTATGGTTTGATTAAAAAAATGTTCATTTCGAAATATGTTTATCAAAGAGATCTATATATTGTGCTATAGTTTTTGAATCTTATGAAAAGTGTGAAGCTTTTTTAAAGAATGTTACTCTTTTCTGTTGCATCGTTTCGTAAAAAAAAGACTTTTCTGTCGCCAACTTTCAATCGAAGAGAAATAGGAATTAACATTTTGTTTTATTACTTATACATTACATATAGAAGTGTAAGCCGATGCATTGATTGACGGCGGCTGAAATTGTTCGATGAATTTTTTTTTAAATTTTCTTCTTTTTGAAATGAAGAAAAGAAAAAACAATGGTAGAGAACTTATTGACAAGAAGCCAGACGGTAATATCTTCAAAAACTGATTTGGAATGTCGAGAGGTTTTGAAAAATCAAATATCTATTTTTGTGTTGCGGCTGACTTGCTTAAGCATGGCGGTTCATGAGAGAGAGACTCTTCAGCTGTCCCCTTACAATTTCAATGATTTTTCGTCTGTGAATACTGCATGGTGTTCTAATAAGAATCCTAAAAAGATTTGGGTTTTGACTAAGTTAATGAATTTTTTTCTAGATGTTCCAGATTTACTCGTATTTTCGAATACTTTTAACTTCTTAATGGAAGGTCGTAGAAAAAAGCAACGACCCCTCATTTTGTGCTCCTGGAAATGGCATTTTAAAAATAGCTTCTGGAACCTGATAACTACCGTGTTCCGTTTTTTTAGAAACCTTGCCGTCATAGTTCATCTATGAAATCTTGGCATTGAATGCACGAGATAGAAAACTCTATTAGCTATTAAGATCTAGAAGGATAATTGCTTAACACTATAGAACAAAATATCAAAATACGTTGCTGTTAAATTTTTTTTCTATCGTCTTGTATAAATTAGATAAATAATTATTTGTATAGCATAATCAAAATTTTCTTTGTTTTATTTTGTACATTTGAAGCGAACGAACAAAAAAAAACGCAGAAAATGTTTATCTGAGACCCGTTTTAACTTTATCTTTCATTTTTTTTTTAACAATATCCATATTTCGTTCTCGCCATGTACTTTTTCGTAATTTAATCGGTCGATTACCAACATATTTACCTATTCAAACAAAAAAAAATAGACAAATTAATAATAATAACAATATATAAACAATTTTACCATTCATTTCACGCATTGCTCGAATATAATCTTGTGAATCTTTAAATGAAACAAAACCATAGCCACGTGTTTTTCCTGATCGTTTATCACGAACAACTTTTGCTTTTTGAAATGTTGGATATTTATTAAAAGCTCGTGTTAATACATCATCATTAACTTCATTACCAAGATCACCACAAAATAAACGAAAATCATCTAAAAAAGAAAAAGAAAATTCAATTTTGATTTTAAAATAAAAGAAAATGAATCAAATTTATTTTTATTACCTGCATCCCATTCAGCAAGTGTTTCATCTTCCCAAGTTGTACCACCAGCCATACGAACATGACGAATTTTTTTTGGTTGTTTAGTTTTACTTTTTTTCTTTGTTGTTGAACTACTTTCATTTTCATGATCTAATACAAAATAAATAAATAAATAAATAAATATTTAAGAAAGAAAAATTATTTTCTTTTTTTTTGTTTTTACCATTTGATTCCATGGATTGTGATGATGAAGCAAATGCTTTACTAACTGGATGAG